TGCTTTTCCACTGCCTGGTCCTGAGGTGGGTGGCTACGTTCTGACACGCATTCCCGCCATGATGCGCTGCCTTGCTGACTGTGGACTGGAATCTCTGAAAGTGGGAACCAAAATAACCCTTTTCTCTTTATAATTTTATGTTATGGCTTGCGTCTAGATGCCCTCCCAAAGCCTCATGCAGTCATGGGGGGTGGGGTTCAGAGGTGGTTGGATCTAGAATGTGTGGTGCTGGGATCAAGGGTGTGTGATCAGTAAATCAGTCTACTGATTGGTTTGGCATAGTTCTGGTTACAATTAAGGGTGTGAGTGCTACACCTGCCTTAGGGTGTGTAGTCTGCCTAAAATACAAGGGACAGAAAGAAGCCCTGCTTGATTGCCATGGACTGTTTCTCCTCTGCAGTGCCACTCCACCATGCCACCCACCTTGGAGCAGCTGACTATGGACTGAAACTTCTACAAACTGTGAGCTAAATAAACCTTTCCTCCTATAACTCTGGGTATCAGATATTTTGTCTCAGAAATGAGAAAAGTAACTAAGACATTTTATTGTCTCAATTATTTGTTACAGTGGCAGAAAACTACTAACATTGTGCATTTAATTATTACAGTTTAAGATAAGTGAAATGAAGTTAGCAGTGATACAAGGACCACAGAGGGAATCAGGGATATTTTGTTATTCTAGGGTTCTTGCACTACCTGTGAAGTGACTGTTACTTTAAAGTGAACTTGAGTCACAGAAACAGAAAAGGGAATTTGGGAGGTGGGGAGGTATTGATCAAAGGGCACAAACATGCAAATGCATACGTTCTAGAGACCTAATTTAGAGCATGGCCACTATAATAATAATGTATTCTGTAAGTAATATTTGCTGAAAGTAGATCTTCAGTGTTCTCACTATACACACATGAAGGTAACTAGGTAGGTTAATTAGCTTGTTTGTGGCAATAATTTCACAATGTATACATATGTCAAAACATGCTATACACCTTGAACATACACATTTTTGTTAATTACACCCCAATACAGATGTGAGAAAGGGGAAGAAAGTGGAGCTGGATAAGTTGTAAATGTATATTACAAACTCTAGAAAAGTCCCAAAAGTATAACTGATATGCTAAGAAAATAGAATAAAATCAAATGTTCAATAAAAACAACAAATGACACAGAAATCATGGAAGACAAAAATAGAAGTGAAAAACAAGAGCAATAAATACCATTAATACTATGTAGATAATATATTGTCTAACCATACCAATAATCATTTGAAAAACATTTCTAAAATATAACAATTAAAACACTTTAAAATGTAAAAAAGGATTAAAAAATACCCAACTATATGTTACCTATAAGAAATTCCCTTTAGATGTAAAGACTTCTATAGTTTAAAAGTAAAACAATGGGTAAGATATACCATACTAACATAAATCAAAAGAAAGCTGGAGTAGCTCTATTCATTTCAGGCAGAGTTGACTACAAAGCAAGGAAAATTATCAAGAATAAATAGGGCCTTTATTAACAGGGTCCCCTGTCCAAGAATACCCAACTCCTGATGTGTATGAAGCTAACAACAGAGCATCAAGATATATGAGGCAAAGGGCTAGGTGTGTAACTCAGTGGTAGAGCACTTGCCTAGTATTGCAAGGCCTTGGTTCAATCCCCAATACTGCAAAAACATAAACAAAATAACCTGAGCTCTTAGCTGCTTTACTCATAATTGCCAAGACTTGAAAGGAAGATGGCCTTTGGGAGGTTAATGGATAAACTATAACACATCTAAATGTAATATTGTTCAGTGATAAAAGAAGTGATCTACCAAGCCATAAAAAGTTATGAAGAAAACTTAAATGCATGTTACTAAATGCAAGAAGGCTGCACATTGTATGATTCCAGCTCTCTGACATTTTGGAAAAGGTAAAACTACAAAGACACCAAAAAGATCAGTGATCTATAGGGTTTCTGTGTGGTGGGTGGAGGGAGAGAGGATGGATAGGTGGAGAATAGAGAATTTTTTATCCAGAGAAACTAATTCATGAGATGCAATAATGGTAAGTGCATATATGTTAGTATTTACTTGTCCAAGCCTATAGGACATACACTGTCGAGAGTGAACCCTAATGTAGACTACTCTGGTGATGACGTATTGATGTAGGTCATTAACAAGTGTACCGCTCTTGTGTGGAAAGGACATCAACAGCTGTGCATGTTGGAAAGAGGGGTATATGGGAACTGTTCTTTTGCTTAATTTTGCCATAAACCTAAAACTGCTATGGAAAAGAAAGTCTGTTCAAAAGAAAACAAAAGAGGGACCGGGGATTTAGCTTAGTGGTTCAAGCGCCTGCCTTGCAAGCACAAGGTCCTGAGTTTGATCTCTGGTACAAAAAGAAAAAAAAAAGAAAAGAAAACAAAAGGTCTACAGAGAAGTCAATTAGATATATAAACAATTTATAGTATATATTATAAACTGCAATTTTGAAGAAAACTATAAACAATTGTATTTAAAATATATGATATTGAAAAAATGAGATTTTTCGGAAAAATGCAGTAATGAAGTGACAGATAAGGCTCAGGCAGTGATTAAAGGGTAATTATTTTACTTGTTTTGTTTTTAATGTTCAAATAATCCAAATCAATCCTTTAAATACTATGTAAATGCACTAGATAATTACTATTTTATTTTTAGAGATGTTTTAGTTAAAGTTTTTTAATTTAAAAAATCCCGTGATTAAAACAACTCTCTGTTCAATAATAAATGTATTTTTGTTTTCAGTGCTGGGAATTAAACCCAGAGCCTTTACACTGAGCCGCACCCCGGGCCCTTTCTAATTTTTTCTGAGTGAGGGTCTCAATAAGTCATTAAGTGGCCCAGGCTGGGCTCTAACTGGGATCCCCTTGCCTCAGCCTCCTGGAGTGCTGAGAATACAAGAGTGTGCCACCATGCTCGGCTAGATGCATTTTTTTTTTTTTTTTTTTTGGTACTGGGGATCGACTCGGGTCCTTGCGCTTGCGCAGCAGGCCACGAAACCACTGAGCTAAATCCCCGGCCCAAGGCTATATTCATTTTTTAAAAATAAAATGTCACCAATAAAAGGGTTTTTCTTTGTTGACCAGTATCATTATTCTATTTTTTCTTGGTCATTGGATTGTTGCTAATAGCAACCATAACTGTTTCTTCATTGTCTCTGGTAGGACAGAGGCTGAGTTCTCATAAAGCTCTTACCGTCTCACCTAGGAGTAGGAAAGAACATTTTTGGAGCTTCCCACAAACCTTTCTTCAGGCTACTTGTCTAGGTGTGGCTTACACTACCTTGACCTAGTCACTGGCAAGGGTGATGGAATTTAAATCCAACCTCGGGGCTTTACCTGAGGCTTCACCTGGGAGGGGAGTGGATTAGGGTGGATATATAAACAAAGTCAGATTCTACTGGGGAAGAGGTGATGGATCTAGGTGGACACCATCTGCTACACATACTGTTTGGCATATTTTGCTATTAAATTCTGTTCTCATGAAAGCAGAATGTTATTATAATTTCATGAATTAAATTCATAAATTGGTGAATTTTATAAAAATTGTTGTATTTCTATTTTTAGTTCAATATTCTTTACTCCTTGAGACTTCCTCTTTGGTAATTACAAGTTTTTGGAGATTTTTCTGATGTTATTTATTTCTAATTTGATTCAGTTATGATTATTACATGGCATATTTTATATTGTTTTACTTATATACGCTGTTTATTACCTTAGATATTGTTATTGGATTGGGGGTTCTTGTCCAGGTTCTTGATACCCCGAATAAACAACTAGCAGAAGATCCAAAAAGAGCAGCAAGATCAAAGATTTGAGAATTGCAAGTACACTCTACATGGCGGGAGCAGCCAGTGGGAAGAGGGGTGCCCTGAGAGAGCTTGGGGCTGAGGGTTTTAGGCATTAGGGTCTGGGGTAGGATTGAAGGGTTGGCCTGATGTTTGACTCCTGCCAATGAACAAAGTGGCACAGCCCGTCAGGTGGTGAAGTCTTTGACTTTTTGTGGCCTTCATTAAAGGACCTGTCATGGAATGCAGTCTCTGGGGTGTGTGTGGCATATCACCAACCAATAACATGGTCGTGGTCGTTAGGCCTGGGGTTGGCCAAGGGGTGGCAGACCACTGACACTGTGGATAAGCTGTTACCCGGTTACTTTCTCCTACTGAAAATAACATGAATCTCCTGGTCCCAGGCTGATGCTTAACTCAGATGGATCTAGCCCAGAAAGTAGGCTCAAAGTAGGCCCACCCTTCCTTCTCCAGCTGTTCCTTAGATAACTTTCTCAAAATGGTCTACTTTGGTCAATGTCTTACATGCTCAAAAAGAAAGCATGCTGTGTGTCAGTTGACGGGACAGTTCAATTCTATTTAATTGCTGATCCTTTGTTTACTGGTTTTATCCATCACTAGAGAGGAGATTTGAAGTCACTGACTGAAACTCTGAATTTGTCTTTTTCTTTTAGCTCTAGCAATTCTTCATTCAGGTATCTCACAGTTGTGTTGTTTGGCGGAGAGTTTACTACTATTTTCTTGTGAATGGACCTTTTTATCATTAAACAGTGTATCTGTTTATCCTTGACAATTCTGTTTTGAAATCTATTTAGCCTGATATTAATAATCTAGCTTTTTCGGGGTGTTTGCAAGACATCTATTTTTCCATCTTTTTACTGGTAACCCACTGATACCATCACATTTTAAGCAAATTTCTTATAGGTAGAATTTGGTTGAGTCATTTTAAAAATCCATTTTCCTGAACTGCATTTAATTGGTATGTTTAGACAACTGACACTGACGGTAATTACTAGTGTTAGAATGTAAGTCTGTCATTTTATTGTATTTTGGTTTTTTGTTTCTTCTTTCCTGTCTTCAAGTAGTCTACATGGGCATTCTTTAATATTTCATTTTTTTTAACCTATATTTTTGAGTTTATCTCTTTGCACAATTTTTTCGGTGGTTATTCCAAGGACTACAATACACATATGCAATTTACTGAAGTTTATTAGGATCAACATTTACCACTTCAAGTGGAATGTGCATATCCAACCATCATTTAAGTCTCTTATACTGTCCTCCCTTTTAAGATAGTTGTCTTAAATATTATCCTGATTACATTATCAGACAATGCTATAATTCTTGCCTTTAAATGACAAGTATAACTGGGTATTATACTTGTCTTTCAAAATAACAAGCCCAGTGTCTACACACTTACTCATTTATTCAACAATCATCCACAAGCTCAAGCTAACCACTCTCCCATACCTTATGGTTTCCATGCCTCTATTTGTAACCTTTGCAATTCATCTATTTGTTCCTAATATATGTGAGAGTCTAAGGAAAAAAATCTGTTAAGTCTCTAAGCTCATCCTCTAAGTGTCGTATTTCTTTCTTTTTAATTCTCTCATAAGGTGTTCTCCAAGTATTTACATTTATTTCATTTGTTTTTTCCCCCAACTGTTCCAGAGGCCTATTGGCAGTGAGATACTTTTGGTTTTGTGTTTTCCTCCAGGACTTACTGAGGTGCTCTCACACCTAAGTGATAATAACTCTACAAATTACATCAATTAAAAAAAATAACTCAGGTATTTATCCACCCCAAGATCCTGCACCAAATTTTCCACAAAACTTCCTATTCATCTAACTCTAGCACCCTAAACGTCTCACTTCTAAGGAGCCTGTGGCCATGAGCTGTTCTCAAAGAGCAAATATTTTGAGATATTTTTAAATTTCTGTAATTTAATTATTATTAACTTTGAATTTTTAAATTATGGAAGCTGTACTACAATACATTGTAATGGTGTTTGATTAGGGTTTCTCCGGTCAATTAATTTAGTTTCTTGCAAATGTCAATCAAGCTTGCTCCAATTCTACGAGGACTCCACCACAGTCTTTAGGATGAAGAAAAATCACAGGCTTTCCATGTGCTCCTATTTTAGCTTCTTCGCCTAGACTACGGATTTTCTTGCTTTTCAAATCTATCACAGCTTCACTGATATCATCCACCTTGAGAAAAGGAAACAAGTGAGAATGCACGTGAGATACTAAAAGTACCATATTACATAGTATCTTAAGACTTAGAAAAAACTTTGAGAGCTTATACAATCTATTTCATGTGCCTTTGGACAGGAACATTCTTAACACACAGTGATGGCTGGAGGTGCGGCTTAGTATCAGAGTACATGTATACACATGCAAGACCCTGGGCTCCATCTCCCGTACTGCAAATACACACATAAAAATTATCACAAAATATAAGCCTAAACTTTTCAGAGTCGTGAAAGAAGTTGTAGACTTTTTCCTAAGGAAACATGCACAATGCTAAAGAATTTCCATCATTAGTAATGTTCCCCCTTGTGGCTTCAATTGTGCATCCTATGCTTCATAATAGTTTCTTCTGACGGTAATACTGGTGATATTTGGCAGCTTGGGTTACATGTTCTGTTCTGAAAACGATGAGAACAGACCAGCTCCGGTACAAGTGGATGCACATTCTACTTACTCCTATTTCTTTTTAAGCCTTTTGTATACCAAAGTCACATCCAGATGTCCATGGTTCATTTCACACTAATCTGTACTGCAGATGAAACTCCCTCCAGGTATGAAGCTAGGAGTTGCAGGGCTTCACTTGTTAGAGTACCCTCTCTCAGGGATTGACATTGTGTGCTGCCTAATGTACAAGGCGAGAAAGTCATTGTTCCATGTAGTGTGTCTAGATTATTCACTTCAGGCAGGAGGATAAACTGGTCTCTGTTACATCATCCTGGCTAGAATTAGAATTCCAAATCAGCATGGTTATTTCTTAGCACTTCAAAAATGTCATTGTACATCATTCTATAATCTGTGTGTCTTTTTTCTCTGATTGCTTTTGTGGTTTTTTTTCTTCACCATTGGTTTTCAGCTTGATGAATGGTGTGCTTAGATGTCATTTTTTCTTCTGGCACTGGGAACCAAACTCAGGACTTTATGCTTGCCATGAAGGCACAGCACCACTGAGCAAAATCCCCAGCCCACTTAGATGTCATTTTATTTGCATTTGCTCTACTTGAGACTGCTGAGCTCTCTGAATCTGTGGGTTGATGTCTTCCATCAGATTGGTAATGTCCTTGTTGACTATTTTTTCCATTATTCTTCTATTCTATTTTCTCTTTCCTCCCTTCCTGAGACTCCATTTTCTGCTAGAACTTTTCACCATGCCCTTCATCTCTCTTATACTCCCCTCTGTTTTCTTTTCCTTCCATGTTTCTCTCTCATCCACGTCTTTTATCTCTTTTGGACTTCCAACCTCTAGCCCTGTGAGAATGATAAATGCCTGTTGTTAATCCACCAAGTTTATAGTAATTCTATACACAGAGTTCACTACTGTTAGTGCAGTGGACCCAGAACCAATGATACCTCAGTAACAATAAGCAAACCTGGAGCTCAGATTTTGGTTTCTAATACATTATCCAGGAACAGGAACCAGAGCTTCTTGGCAAAATGAATGGTTCTGGTCGGGGATTTAGCTCAGTGGTTCCGGCGCCTGCCTCGCAAGCACAAGGTCTTGGTACCCAAAAAAAAAAAAAAAAAAAAAAATGGTTCTACAGCTAGGGCATGGATTTAGAATTTGGAATACCTTGCAGTTTCAGAAAATAAGGAAATACTTTTTAAAAAGAAAGAGGGATATGTCAAAGGATATAAATGCCAACCAAAAGAGCTCCAAGTAACCAAAGCTGGAACAATATGAGGAAAAAAGTATAATGCATTTCCACAGTCCATACTAATATAGTTCTCCATATTCCTTAAATATATCCTATAAAGACTTCCTTCCAGAAGTATGGCATGGAGAAAAAACAGGATAACAAAGGAGAAAACTGACGATACTTTCTCAGGTAGAGATCAAGGTCAATATCAGCAACGATAAGTCATATTAGTAGTGTCCTTGATATGATTTGTTGAGAATGGCATTTTACCTATGTGGCCTTCCACCCCAAAAACAATAACCTCAGTTGAATGAGAATAAAACATCAGAAAAATCTCAAATGAGGGATGGTTTACAAAATAAATGACCAGAAATTTTCAGTGTCTAGGTTATCAAAAACAAGGAAAGTCTGAGAAACTGTTACAGGCAAGAAGAGCCCAAGGAGTCATAATATCCGAATGTGATATGGGATCTTAGATGGCACCCTGAAACAGAAAAAGGGTATTGAATCAAAGCTCAGGGAACCCGAAACACAGACTTTTGCTAATAACAATGGACTGACACTGGTTCATGGTGACAAACATATTATACTAATATTAAGATGTTAATTATTTTTTAAAAGAATCTGTAGAGATTATGTAATGAATGGGTCTTGCTGGAATCCTGATTAAAACAAGTCAAATATAAAAAGCTATTTGTAACTCTATCTTGTAAGTTTGATTATGGACTATGTATAGATGATATCTCTGAAGATTTAGCCTTAATTTTGATTGATATGATGTCACTGTGGTTATTCATTTCTTATAGACACATGCTGAATAAAGCCAAAATGACATGTTGTAAATTACTTTAAAATGATTTAACAAAGGAAAAGGGCAAATGAAGCAGGAGTGGCAGGATCTTGAAAACTAAGCTAGGTGATGGAGTCTAGGAGTTCATTACATTTTCTTCTGCTTTTGCATTTTTGAAATTTTTCATAAAATAATCATGATTCTTTTACAGAGCCCTTTTGATAACTTCTACTCTACATATGATCATGAATATTTTAATTTATATAACATTCTACCCAAGTACAAATATCTACAATTCTGTCACATCCCAATTTTTACTACAGTATATACTTTTTTCCGTATCCTTTCATCCAAGAAATACTTCTAAGCCAAGATACACTTCTTTTAATACGTTAGATTTACTTTTGAAAAACACTAAATTGATATTGGATAGCATCTATTTCTATTACTGTTTCTATCCCTAGGTTTGATTTTAAAGATCCTGCACATTATTCAGCCTTCTGTTAGTATTGCTATAAAATTTAGAATTCTGAGTGTTTTGTTTGGCAGGAGTAAAAAGAATGGAATAAAAAAAAAAGAATGGAATAAAAATGTCTTAATTTTATGAATTGAAAGTATACGCAATAGTTACAAGACATGCCAAGCAATCTGATTTGGGAAATTAAGTCTGTCCCTCTCAGTAATGAAAATAAGTCAATAATAACCCACCTTAAAAATGGATTTTTATGGCCTTTTAATAGTGTTTTTCCAGTCTGTCAAACAATTACAGCTGTGAATCAGCTAGCTCTGTGAGGCCTTGAGTGTCATTAGTGAAAATCCGGTCTATTTGATTTTCACTTCAACTTATCAGTTTTTCAGTGTGTGGGCATATATTTGGGGGCGTATGTTGAATCTCTCCCATCATTGTAAATTAAGAGCAGCAGTAAAACATGTTTGGATGTTCCATTCAGAATTCACAATCTTCTGGTTCATCTTACATTTTCTTTGGTGTTTAGCTGCCCTTTCTGAAAATGGCAATGCAATTTGCTTATTGGCACGCAAGCTGTTGGGTAAATAACATCTTTTATCCTGAAGGTATATAGTTCTTAGTTTTATGAACAATTAAAACTTTATGAACAAGTAGTAATGTGCCACTTTTCACAATGCATGAGTTTGGTGGGTTTAAGAAACACAGGCATTTATTTCACATTAAATTATACTGTTGTTAATTGATGTCAATAATGAATGAATTCAGCCTTCAATTGACTTAAATCTATGAAAGCTAAAATGAAAAGTCTGCACTGAATATTTATGTTCTAATTGTCTCTCCCCTAAAGCTAAACTCTAAATGAATAATACAAACCTAACACTGTTTTCTCTTTGCACGGGCTTCAGAGGCTTCCTGAGCACTCTTGGGAATTATTTCGGAGGGTGCACAATACCTAAGCTTCCATACTTGCTATATACCCTGGAGGTGGCTATGTTGTGTTTCCCAGCTGGTGGTCTCCACCAAAATGTTCACCAGTTTATAGTAAAACATTAAAAAAAAACAAAACTAAGCTGATAAAAACCCAAACAAAACTGATTTATTTAAGTGATAAGTGTTATGGTTTGGATCTTGCGTGTCCTCAAAGGCCCATGTGCTAAAGGCTTGGTCCGCAGCCTGTGGTGCTGTTGGGAGGTGATGAAACTTAGGAAGCGGGGCTTAGTGGGAGGAAGTGAGGTCACTGGGCGTGGCCTTGAAGAGGATACTGGGACCCTTGGGTTTTTCTTCCTGGTTGCCATGAGGTGAACAGGTCTCTTTTGCCATGTTCTCCCGTCATGGTGTTCTGTGCCACCACAGGCCCAAAGCAACAGTGCCAGGCAACTATGGGCTGAAATCTGAACCCATGAGCCAAAACAGACGTTTCCTCCCTATAAACTGATTATCTCAGGTGCCTTATCACAGTGCTGGAAAGCTACCACTGTAGGACTCAGTCCATGAAGAGGTCTCCTTCTCTTCCTCCTCCTTCCTCTTCCTCTCCCCCCTTCCTCCCTCTTTCTGTAATAAAATAACCTTTCTCTTATAAAACGATGTTAGCATTGGGTGGTAGTTTTAGCAACACACAGTTTAAAGCCTTACGAAGCTCCCCATGTTTTTGTTTTGCTCTGTTCTCAGGAAACTTTTCATTCTAGGAAATCCCTCCATCTGGGAACAGGTGATACAGAGATCACTAGCAGAGCAATTCTCTAGTGGTTTTGTATAGCCAAAATGAGAATGGACTTTTTTTTTTTTTTTTGAGAGTGTCTTGCTCTGTTGCCCAGGCTAGCCTTGAACTCCTGGGCACAAGTGATCCTCCTGCATCAGCCTTCCAAGTAGCTGGGCCTTACAGGTATATATGCGACACTGTAACTGGTTAGAATAGAGTATTATAAAAGGGGGAACTCTCTCATTCTCTCATTCACTGTCTGTCTCTCTGTTCCTGTCTCTAACCCCACCTCCCATCTTGCTAAGTTGCCCAAACTGGCCTTGAATTTGGACTCTCCTGCCTCAGGAGAAAAGGACATTTTGTCAAAAATTTTTGTTGGGTCAACTAAAAGCCATGGAGCATGCCCATAACAGACACACTGGGAAATCAGAAGTTTTACGAGGTCCCTGTGAGACAGAACATAAAGGACCCTGTAATATCATACTATATGTTATTTTTTATAATACTATAAAAAAGGGATGGCATTAAGAGATAAATGGCAATAAACCATACAGCTATAGAATTGTTGAATACTTTGAAAAAGATAGATTTTTCAATCCTATGTCCAAAACATTAGAAAAAGTTGAAAAAACTCCTTTCTGTGGAGGTGCTGCTTATCAGCCTTCTACCTTACCAACTACCAATCATCTTGGGTCTCCTTATCGTTACAGAGGCTGGGCAGGTTGTCTTTTGTGGATATGAATGATGCTGGATCCCACTTTTGGCAATTTTAAAAACAAATCATTCTAGAGCTTTTAAAAATTTCACCTATTTTCTTTTTGCTTAGAACACATTAATGTACTGATGGTTATAGCACTTTTTAAATGTCCACAGATTCTTTGTTGCTCATCCCTTCCAGAGGCAGGATCTAGGGACTCGTCCTCACATCTGGTCTGCCTTGAACCTGCCATGACAACGGATGAAGGCAGAAGTGCTGCTGAGGGACTTCTGAGCTGAGGGCAGAGGACTCCACGTCGTCCTGCCTGGTTCCACTGGGGGACTCACTCCGGTAAGAAGCCCAGTGATCCTCCAGCCTTAGCCTGCAGAGTTGAAGAGGACACCTGTACAAGCCCAGGAGTGGGCCCAGCTGTGAGTCAGCATCAACTGCGAGGCACATGAGTAAAGCATTTAGGACACCCAGCCCAGGGGAGTCTTCGGGTGACTGGCCACCGCTGACACCCGTCTCCACATGAGATCCCAAGCAAGAGCCCTCCTGAACTTCCTGATCCCCAAAATTCTGTGTAAATAAAATGCTTTGTTACTTACTGCCATTCTATTACACAGCAATAGTAACCAGAACAGTGATCAGAGCAGTATTTTCTGACTGGCTCTATCACTTTTTGTACTTTGGAAGAGAGCCAGACCCAAGTTTTATTAGCCAGAACAGACAAGGTCATACTCTTGGAACATAATGAAGCTTGGAGGTTCAACAGGTCCCTTTGACAAAAATGTATTTTCTTTTTTTTGTTTTTTTCCAGTACCAGGGATCAAACTCAGGACCTTGAGGTTGCAAGGCAGGCACGGTGCCACTGAGCTACACCCCTGGCCCAACAAAAATGTATTTTCTGTTCAAAGAAAGGCAAGAAATTTTGTTCTACTGGTAGGATCAGGGACATAAGCCTCCTCTTATCTTGTGACACCACTGTCTCGAAGACTGGCATAACAGAGGAGGAAACAGTAATAATACACAGTATAGTTGGGGATTTAGCTCAGTGGCACCATGCCTGCCTTGCAAGCGGCAAGGTCCTGAGTTTGATCCCCAGTACCAAAAAAAAAAAAAAAAAGATAAAAAAATACACAGTACACTGTTCATACTTGTTTACATACTGGCCCTCCTCACTGAGAACATGCTCCATCTCTTGTGGATGGCTGAATCCCAAAACAAACAGGAATGGGGGTGCAGAACAGTGGTAGGGTACTTCCCTAGCATGCATGAGGTGTAGGCTCCTTTTCTTCCTATTAATTATAGTGACCCCAGTTTGTTGAGGCACATAGCTGCACAGCCATAGACTACCTTCCCCAGTCTCCCTTGCAGCCGTGTGTGCCATGTGACTAAAAGGCTAATGCAATATGAACAGAAGTGGTGCAAACAATGTCTAGAATCATCTTAAAGGTGTTTGTCCCATGTTCTCTCCTGGCTGGCAAACAGGAATGCCTGGAACAACTCTCCAAACAGTGTGCTACAGATAGCCCAGCTGGCCCAGGACATAAAATCTATCCAGTCTGCCTGCCTGTCCATCCATCCATCTATTTAATTTGTGGTGCTGGGAATTGGACCCAGAGCCTGTGTATGGTAGGCAAGGGCTCCACCACTGATCTCTGTGCCTAGCACTTCCACCATTTTTAAAACTTCAATATTTATTGCTATTTTTTTTTTTTTTTTGGTACTGGGGATCGAACTCAGGACCTTGCGCTTGCCAGGCAGGCACAGCGGCACTGAGCTAAATCCCTGGGATTTATTGTTAATTTTTAAAATACAGAGCTTTGCAAGCTACGGATAGACACCACCTTTAACGAAGTTTTCAGCAAGAAAACAACCCCATTTTATTTTTTGTGGAGGTTGCACAATGATGACAGATGGTGTCAGACCAAAGTAGTAACTACTTTCAGACTTTCTCCTATTACCTACCTTCATTTTATACTCATACACATTGTCATTTCCCTCTTTTGATCTCTACTTTTGAATTCGCCGATACTTCACTGAACTACCACTTTACTTAACTGAACTTCTAACTCACACAGCCAGCCTCCTTTGAAGGCCGGGACTCTCTCGATGTAGAACCTAGACAGTGCAATGTGGGAGAGGACAGCAGATTCAAAGGCAGACAGTCCTGCGTCTCATCCTGGGGGGCTTACACAGGTCTACAGATGAAACCTGTCACCAAAAGTAACCTCCTAAGAATCAAATAAAGGGTAAATACTAGGCCTTTTGTAGCCATCTGGTCTGATGTCTTGTAGCTCCCCCACCTCACATTTTAAACTCAGTTAACCTAACAAAGGCAATCAGCTTCGCGGCCAAGAGTGCAGACCCCGGAATCTGAACAAATCTGGGCTCAGCCAAGTTAGCAAAGTTTGTTTTCCCACCAGTCGATTGGGATTAATAACACCTTCACACAGTAGCTATGAGAATTAAAGAACAGAATTCATGTCTAATACTTCACACACTGGCAAAGGGAACTCAGTGTGTGTTAGTTGTTACATTAACTCTGTGGTCTGCCTGGAATGCCCTTCTCCTACTGTTCATCTGGGAATTCCTTCACAGTCATTCTAACTTGTGCTCCGTGAAGACGTCCGGCTCCTGGGCTTGAGGCACCGAGGAGACACAGTACACTGTTCTCGTTTGTTTACATACCTGCGCCTCCCCACTGAGAACATGCTCCATCTCTTGTGTATGGCTGAATCCCAAGCACTTAGTAGAATACACACCGTAGGTTCTCATATATGTTTGCAATAACAAACTGAACATATCCTTAATTCCAATCTAGAATCAGCTCACCTTTCTTCTGGATAAGGAATGAACCCTAGTTAATTACGTCATCACTTCTAGCAAAGGAATTGTCCCATCAAATTAAATTGAAGCCTGACTGGTACTGGTGGTATTCCAAAGGGCAGATATCTGAACACGATTATCTGCAGACAAATGTTCTTTAATGAGAATGTTCTTATCTAACATTTCTTCAAGTTTTCTCAGAAACAGTTAACAAATGCAATTTAGAAGATCTTAAAAATCAGTCACTGAAAATTGAAAATGTATTGCTTTTATAATAAGGAACAAGCTATTGGAATTTTAAGGACAAAATATAATATTTTGGGCTGGGAGTAGCTCAGTGGTACGGTACGTGCTTAGCATGCATGAGGCCCTGGGTTCAAACCTCAGCACCAGAAAAAAAAGAAAAACAAACTTAGCACTTACTTTTCACTTGCTTCTCCTAATTGCCTTGGAGTAAAAGGACTTACATTCCTATTATATGAGAGGTCATACATGGTCAAAAAAACCTAGAGCAAAGAGTCCATATTTTACCCAATTTTGATGGCTACTTTAGTGGTTGCTGAGTTCAGACGTCAATAAAATACATTAACATAATTTTTTTAGTTTTTTAGAGAGAAAGATATGGGTAACCGTTAGTAGGACTACCACTATTCCCCTTAGAGAACTTAATGAAAGTTTCTGATGACAGTGAGCACAGGTATGTAGTTTTATAGGCAGAGATTGACAACACTAAACACTAAAGTAATAAAAATACCTCAATGCAGATGTGATGCATTCCTCCAGCCTCATTTTTCTTCAGAAAACCTTCAATTGGACTGTTACTTCCCAGTGGATGAAGCAGTTCCATCTTGGTATTTCCCAGGTTGACAAAAACAACAGATACTCCATGTTCCGGAAGAGGGACCACTTCACTTACCTGGGCCCCCAGAATATTCTTATAAAATGCTGTGGCCTTCTCCAAATCCGGCACTGCTATGGCTACGTGATTGAGCCGACCCAGGTTCCATACAGGGCCTGCCATCTGATGCCGGGACTGTGACATGGAGAAAGCTCTCACTGTTGGGGGTGGTGTGTGCAGCCTAGAAAAGAGTCCTGAAAAATTGCACAGCTGTTAATATCCTCCTGAGAATTAATGCACTCTTTTTTTTGGTACCTGGAATAGAATTCAGGACCTTGCGCTTGCCAGACAGGCGTAGTACCACTGAGCTACATCCCCAGGCCTAAAAGCTAATTGTTTAGAATTTAAAAAGCTAATTCTGAACTTCAGCTAGATTCTGAACAGAGAATAACATTTGTTCATAATAAGTTATATTTACTGATAACACTTAAAAGATGGCTGCATATTAAGAAGCACTCAATGATCTCTGCATTTTACAGGAGGTAAGGTGGAATGTGAAAAGGAAACAAGATACACCTAATAAGAATGAGCACATTTCTTCCCTACCTAGGTCCATTTCTTCATCTTATAAAGTGACTATACAGTACTTTGAATGTGTGTATTATTTGAATGATTAGCAATGAAGGAAAATAACGGTTGAAGAATAAACAAGCAAAGACTGAAGGAGTACTCTACTTTTGTTTCTTTCTTATTTTGTAGAAATAGAGGGAGAAATGCTCCTGAATGTGAAGAAACCTCCTTTCACTCAGTCACTGAAGAAGGCTGGAAGGAGTCTTCCCCTTGTATTACTCTGCTTCCTCATCCACCCAGATTCTGGGCTTGGAAGAGCCAGATTCTACCCTCCAGGCCAGAATGCAAAGTATACACATGTATGAGCTCTAAATATAATCTTGTAAAACTACATCACTCAATCAAAAGTATAAAACAGCAAGATGAAGATCATACGCAGCATTTTAAATAATAGCTGGTTAGTTCTTAGAGATCACTTTAAGTAGTACCTCATTCAGCTTCAGCGAACAAAAAACATGCCCCTTAACTGAAATTTTTTGATAACAAGGAAATTAAAGTAACATTCTTTTATTCAAGATCGTAAGTTTGCATCATAGGTCAGTAGAAGGCAAAATTCAGTCTAAGATGATCTTCTGTCATGCCCCAGTTCATATTATTGATTACTGAAATATCCAAAAATTGTCTATTAATAGCAGGGAAAAAGAAACCTTTCGACACTGTTGGTGGGAATGTAAACTCGTACAACCACTATGGAAATCAGTATGAAGATTCCTCAGTAACCTAAAAATAGAAATTCCATTCAACCCCGGCATTCTCCTTCTAGGTATCTTCCAGAAAGAGTTAAAGTATAGTATTATAGTGATACATACATACCCCGTTTATAGCAGCACAATTCGTAACAGCTAAACCTTGGAAGTGGCCTACATGTCCATCAACAGATGAACAGATAAAGAAAATGTGATATTTACACACGACAGAGTACTACTCTGCCATAAGAAGAAGAAGCTTGAGTTATTTATAGGAAAATGGATGTGCCATGTTAGTGAAATAAATCAGGTACACAAGCTTGAATATTGCATGGTTTCTCTTATTTGAGAAAATCGAAGTATAAATAAATTAAACAGCAAAATAAAGATAGATAATAGGAAATAGGGAGATATAGCTTTTGCAAAATGGAAGATCAAGAAAGGAAGGAAGTTGGATTGGGGATGTAGCTGAGTGGTGCCACGCCTGCCTCACAAGCACAAGGTCCTGAGTTTGATCCCTGGTACTAAGAAAAAAAAAAAAAAGAAATGGAGGAAGTGGGGAGGGGATGAAAAAAGAATTAAAATGTGTTATGTACATGTACCAATCCTAATCATGCATTGCAAACATATACTAATAAAAGTTTAAGAAATGTTATAGTAGGAAAGTAAACAGTTACATGGAAAATAAAAATAGGTTAATATAGTACAGTTTTACAGACTCACTGTGTTATTATGAAATCCAAGTGTATTATGACAGGTGTACACACACATAAACGTACATTTGAAACTAAATTCCATGAAAATACCCAATCCTTCCTAGAATGATGTGCTTTGATATTTTCTATTGTATTTTATTACCATTTTAAAAAATATTAGTATCACCTGCTAGATATCTAACTTGCTGGATATTGCACTATACATTCATCTACTCTTGTGTTAATGACACACAATGTTTTCTGTGGCGGCCACGAGCCTATCTCATGAGGATGCAGTGATGAATGTTTAAAATGCTAACAAACAACAAAAACTATCGTCAAGCTGTTCCTATCTTCTTTCTTTCTCTGCATCTCTATTGTATGTGCAATTTGCAGTGGAAGTTTACTACAGAAAGTATATTTTAAAAACATCACAGCTGGGCATGGTGACTCACCTTGTCATCTCAGCACTAAGACGCTGAGGCCGGAGGGCTGCCAGTTCTGGGCTAGCCTGAGGTACATAGTGGGTTCACGGCCAGCTTGCATTACAGTGTGACTCTATCTCAAACCCTCCATGGGCCCCCAAAACACAAACAAAAAGCCCCCAAACCTACTGAAGATAGATAGGATGCACAAGCTTGTGGGTAGCATACACATTAAGAAGTTGTCATGTCAAATTCTGAGCTCAGGTATTTCTAAATTCTCCTTACCAGAGTTATCTCTACAAGAGATGGGGCAATAGGATCTTTGGGCAAGCATCCTGTTACCAGCAAGGGAGCATACAGAAATTACAAAAGAACAAATTATAGGATGTTCCAGTGAAAGCACAGTTTTATATCCTATGCCAATTTGCTTTAGGGCTATTTCAAAACTCTGGCTCTGAAAAGGAACCCCAAGCAATTCATGTTATTGGAAGCCTCACTGAAGTCTTTCTTTATGACCTTCTTAATACTTGGTTCTCTAGAAGAAAAGGGTCCTTTTTCTATTAATAGGAAACAAACTCCTGTATATGTTGGAAAGATAGACAACAGTATCTATCTATATACATATAGTAAAAATTAAGATTTTAAAGTTTATACTCAAACACAGTCAGGGTACTTACTATTTAAAGACATTAGGTATTAACCTTGAATTAAAAGTGTCATAAAATTGTGACTAATTCTAATAAGTTTTCAACCACTTTACATCTTAAGGGTTTTTAAAAGGCATATAATTTACATACCATAAAGTTCACCCACTTGAGGTATACAATTTAGTAGATCTTAGAAGATCTGCAAAGTTGTGTAACTTTCACATAATATATATTTCCACCTAAGAGGCAATGTACCTTATGGTTAGAAATATGGCTTCTGGTACTTGACTGCTCTGGTTTGAACCCTGACTTTCCCATTAGCTGCACTGCTTAAGCCAGTTACTCGACCTCTTTTGCCATTGTTTCCACCTACATAAAATGAAAAAACAAAAATCATGCGATATGAGCATCATGAGGTTAAATGATAGGAAGTAGAGGAAAAGCCAGCCAGGACAATTTAGCGAGATCCTGTCTCAAAAATAAAAGGGCTAGGGATGCAGCTCAGTCAAAAAACACTTGCTTAGCATGAACAAGGTCCTGGATTCAATTCTTAGTACATACCTCAAAAAACACAACAGCAAAGGTTACCTGTATTTGGTAAGGTCTCAGCAAGCAGTTCTTTTGTGTCCACTGCTTCATTCATTGGTCCACAATTTACTACTTTGTATGCCAGGGACAGCACTCACTTCCTTTCAGACTGAACAATTTACTGTACAGGATCTGATTTCAATGCATGGCTGATTGTATTTAAGTATTTAGTGATTGCTGTCATCTTGTTTTACTGCAGGAAGGTCTTAAAAGCATACTATGCTGTTTGGTTCTTGATACAGGAATACAGATTTACAATTTTCTCAAGCTGCTTATGATAACCCTCCAATTCACCTACACTGCTCATGACTATTGATTTTTTTTTTTTTTTTCTGAGACTGGGGATCAAACTCGGGACCTCGTGCTTGCAAGGCAGTCACAGTGCCACTAAGCTAAATCCCCAGCCCCAATGACTATTGATTTTTAACTTGAAACTTTTAATATCATATAGAAATGGAAACTATATAACTAATCTTCCTTTCAAGAACCTATAAACTGTTGTATCTAATGCTGGTGTATGCTCCTAATTATCTTCAGAAATTCTCCATGTTTTCCCATCTGCTGAGACTTATCAGCAGTAGAGGATAGTATTCACTGGGGTAAAAGCTACTTGATTTTACTTCACCTTCCTGTATAGACCTAAAGGTTTTTTTTCGGTACCAGGGATTGAACTCGGGTCCTTGTGCTTGCACAGCAGGCGGCGAAACCACTGAGCTAAATACCTTGCCCCAACAGACCTAAAGGTTTATGTCATTGTTCCAGTTATGCCTCAGTGCTACTTTATAACCTTTCCTAAATCTGTAACTCTGCTTAAGTAAACGATGAAGTTACAAATACTAAATCAGAAGTCCATGATGATGTAGGCTGGCTCTGTTGATTATTTTTCATGGCCATAAAATAGAGATAAAGGCAAAAGATCAGTGAAGATTTTATTTAATCTTCACATTTCAGAAATAAATAAATAGTACTGGCAAGGATTAAGTATAAGTTTCTTCAAGCTTACACTAAGTGAATCATTTAACACATTCCTCTGAAATTCTTTACTATTTTTTTGATTCTTAAATTTTAATATCATTGGTATATGTCCTACTTTCTAAGATATGGCTTCTGAAGAGATAATACAAGATGACTCTTTGTTTTGTGAGTATTTTTACAATGAGCTGTCTTGTATTTTACCAAGGATAGTAAGGCCAATAAGATGGATTATCACCAAAACTTCAGTATCACCTGTCAATTGGAAATTCGTGTTTAATAACTGTGCTCAGCCTGACAATACTTCTTCATATATATGTGTATATATATATGTGTGTGTGTGTATATATATATATATATATATGTGTGTGTGTATATTTTCCCCCTCTAAACTGATTGTGGAGACAGCTGAACCTATTAGGATGCACTTTTTCTTTGCATGGGGCTTAGCTCAATGTCCTGGTGATTCATATTAGATAATTAAGAGCTTTTGAGATTGGTGAGAAATGCTAGAAGGATCAATAAAGAGCTCAGTTGAGATGGAATTTCAAAGTATGACTAGGAGTGCACATTTCAAAAGGTGGAATAGAAAGAGCACTTTTTAGGAGAAATCTAACATTAACGAAGGTTCATTCCCTTGGCCACTTTTTGAAGGTTCTAGCTGAAGGATTTGTCACAAATGCTCAGGAGTAACTGGGCATGACCACTTTGCACTTTCTTCCCAAAAGGAAATCTCAGATTAAGGGAAATTCTTGCCTTCAGGAAAGCAGCAAAAGAAGAAAAAGAAAGTGAAGACAGTGGGAGAGTTGGAAAACTTGAGCGTCTCTCATCACTGATTCTACCCAGCTATTTTTTTTTTTTTAATGGAGGCGTAGAGAAACCAGGAACTTCCAAATCCCTGATATCAGGGCATGAGGGTCAAACACTCCTGGGATATCCTTTACCCCACCGACCTTCAGCTCCAGCAGGATCCCAGACGTGTGTGGATTCTGTGTGGGTCTAAAGACCTGGCCCTTTGTGGTCCTCCCCAGTCTCTCCTGGTGCGCGGTAAACAGCATTCTCCGCGTCCTCCAGTCCCTTCTCTTCCGCCCTCGCCGCTCCCCGCAACAGGCTCCCGCCTATCTGGCCCACAAATCAGGGTGACCTCAACGGCGCGAGAACCGCGCCACGGTCCCCCCAGGGGGTGGTGACAGCGGCCGGGAATGCGCCTCGGGCCCCGGTGCTCGTCCGCCCCGGGCCTCCTCGCCTCCCGGCCCCGCCCTGTACCGCACACCCGGCCCACGGCGCCCCGCCGGAGCCCGGACTCACCTGCCGCGGCCGCCGCCGCCATCCTCAGCGCTCCCGCCATCTCCAGGAAGCGACCCCCCCGCCCCGTCTGCGGGGGGGTCGGGGCTACTCGCGGCGGGGCGGTGAAGGGGCGGAGCAGTTCGCGCCGGGGCGGGGCGAGTGCTGGAAGCCGCCCTCGCTTCTCCTGTACCGCCACGTTCTTGACGCCACCTGTTGTATCTAAACCAGAAATAAACAGCGACTACGACTCGCCACAAGTGGCCTTCTCAGGGATCCAAAGCAGGAAACTTAGGAGAAAATTCAAAGGCTCTTGCCCCGCTCCAATTTGCATGCCCAGTGACATTTTTTGCGCTGCCATTGGCTCTGGCTCTGGGTGGTTCCGGAACCTTTGCGCCGCGGAACCTTCGGCTCTGGGCTCCAGGTTACTGGAGGGGAACCTTTACCTTGCGGTTTCCTTTCGGCTCTCTTCCGGAGCATGTGGCGCGGTCCCTGGAATTGGTGACAGCGATGGCTCCTCCAGTCTGGCGTCGACGGACCCTGGAGAGGTGTCTGAAAGAGATCAGTAAAGCCACCAAGGAACCGGAGTGTTTCCTCACGTGAGTACGCCGATCTTGGCCTCGGAGAGAAGCCCAGATTGTCTGTAGTCCTGGGTTGCAAGTGGCCGGCAAATTCTGGAGCGGGAGGAAGAAGTATAGATCACTGTTCTCCAAATTTCAGACTTATGCTCCAGTGATCTGTCACATTTTTTAAAAATTGAAAGCTGTGCAGAGCGGACCCCTCGGTTGTGTGCTATTGAAATCGAACTAAGCTCAGCTGTTAACGCTCGGTGGCCTCCCTTAGGCTTTTGCCTTCCCAGTCCCCCCAACACACACCGTGTTAGTTGCTCTTTCCAATCGTGTGCCCTAAAAAGCGTCCACTGCCCACTGTCATCAAACTATTGAAAGTATAAACTTGTTGCTGGTCTGTGCTCCCCTAGGACTGAGCTTGTTGAGAATTGCGACTGTCATCTATTTTCCCATCGCACACATTTTGTACTTATTTTGTTGAAAAACTTCAAGTAAGATCTATAAATTGTGATGCGGGTTTATATTTTCAAACCTTGACCTCTTCCTTGTGCTCTGAGCTGAAAGCCTCTACTGACAGCTTCATGGTTTCAGCATATCAAATTTACCATGTACAAAACAGAGCTTTAGAAGAAAAAAAATACTGTGTCCTCCCCTGAACTCATTTTCACATGTCTCACCGACCGGGCCTTCCCTGTTTCAGTAAGTGGTATTTCTGTCATTCCAGTTGCTCAGATAGAACCGGTCTACTTCCTTGATTATTTTTTTAAAATCTCTGTTGTACATCTTTCATTTTTGCCTCCAAAGTATATTTGGAATCTGACTCCTACTTACCATGTTCACTGCTCTGACTTCAGTGAAAATCTCCATCTTCCTTTGCCTGGAATGCTGCATCAACCTGCTAGTCCCCCAACGTTCATTCTTTCCTTGTATAAATTATCTTTTGTAAGTGTAAACCATTTCATTGGGCTTAAAACCTTCTAGTATGTCCTCATTACACTTAAAACGGCAAACTCTTACCTTTGAGCCCTGCATAATTGGGCTTCCACTAGCCTTTCTAACCTCACAGCCTGTCTCCTTCAGTACATTGCAGTCTTGCTGGTCTTTCTGTTCCTGAAGCTCTCCAAGCTCGTTTCCATCTTAGGGAGTTTGCTCTTGCTCTTTCTTCTGCCCTGAACACACTTCCAGATCTTTGTAAGAAAATTTCCGTATCTGTAGTTCTCATCTCTGATATCACATCCTTAGAGAGAACTTTCTGAACCACTCTCGCCAAAGCAAATGTTACTATAGATGGGTTGAATGAATGGAATGGTATATAATGTAACAGAGTGGAAAATTTAAGGCTGACTCACTAGTATCGCTCTGGGAAATAGATCTATAATGGTTATTTTGTTTTGTTTTTGAGATGGAGTTTCCTATCTTGCCCTAGTCTTGAACTTCTGGCTCATGCGATCCTTCTGCCTCAGTTTCCCAAATGGGGCACACCACCACATCTGGCTTCTATAATGGTTTTATTACCTAAAATTTGTACAGCAGATTGATTAGTTGACAGTTTTCATATAAAATCAGCATGGCTCACCAGCAAGATATTATTGCTGAGAACCAGAATCTATACTTAAATTTTTATTTGCGCAAGAGTTAGCTTTTTTTTAAATTCAGAGTGCTATGAGATTATCTGTAATTTTACATCTCATTTAATCCCTTCAATAGGATTCAAGATGGATTAGCATCAAACTTCACTTCTTTAACAAAAGTTCTTTATGACTTTAATAAAATAGTGGAGAACGGTAGCATCCCTGGAAGTCGTTTACAGAAACTTGTGATAAACAATTTTGATGATGAGCAGATTTGGCAACAACTGGAATTGCAAAATGAACCAATTTTACGCTATTTCCAGAACGCAGTTAGTGAAACAATTAAAGATGAAGACATCAGTCTTCTCCCAGAAAATGAAGAAGTGGAGTATGAAAAGGATGGTTCAGAGATGGAAGCTGATGGCCAGGAGGACCTAGAACAAGATTTGGAGGAAGAAGAAATGTCAGATGGGGGTTATGATGGTCCTGAAGCGGGTGAGAGAGCTAAAACCTCAAGCAAAGTTGATCTGCGGGAAAGCCCAGTTTTCAGTGATGAAGATTCTGATCTTGACTTTGATATCAGCAAGTTGGAACAGCAGAGCAAGGTTCAAAACACACTGCCTAGGAAACCGAGAGAAAAGTCCATAGTAGATGATAAATTCTTCAAGCTATCTGAAATGGAGACCTTTTTAGAGACCGTAGAAAAAGAAGAGGAACATAAAGAGGACAAGGATGAGGAGGAAGAAGAAGATATTGACTTATTTGAAGACATTGATTCTGATGAAGATGGAGGACTGTTTGAAAATCAAAATTTTAAGGTAAAGTTTTGGGAGAGAAGAGAGAAAACTATAACCATTTGTTAAGGGAGCATAATTTTCACCAAACACTAAAAATAATTGTGAAAGGGAGGCTTTTAGTACTTCATTTAGACTGGATTATTTTAGAAATAATTGTAGTTATGGGCTGGGGATTTAGCTCAGTGGCGCTGCACCTGCCTCGCAAGCACAAGGTCCTGAGTTCAATCCATGATACCAAAAAAAAAGAAAGAAAGAATTGTAGTTAGAAGATTTAGAGATAATAGAATATTGTGCTCTTATTTCATCATTTATAAACGGGTCCAAACTTCATTTAGTTTATGTCTCAGTTGTTTTTCTGGTTTCATGGTAGTGTTATTAGTTGCTAGTTTCCCCTAATAACTACATTAGCTGGTACTGTCAAAGTTAGAAAACATTGTATTTGTGTGTGTGTGTGTGTGTGATGTATATACATGTATGTACATATTTTTATATATTTTCCTACATTTACTTAAATGTTTCTTACATCTTTTTATTCAAGTCAGGTGAAAGTTCCAGAAATCTGAAATACAAAGATTTCTTTGATCCAGTTGAGAGTGATGAAGACACATCAAATGTTCATGATGGTGAGCTGGATTCAGACAAAGAAGAGGAAGAAATTGCTGAAGAAGAAGCAGATGAAGAAAGCATTTCTGGAACGTGAGTGTTTTGAATCTACATTGTACACTGGAATTGCCCAGTCATGCAGGTTTACTCATAATTGTCAAGTATGCTTGTCTTAGAAGGTCAGATAGTACATTCTCTAATGTCAGATGGTTTCAAGATAGCCAAAAGCAACTCTCTGATTTTAAGGAACATGAGAGATCATTTAATAGAGAAAAATACCACTGGCAGTAGCAACCAAGCCTTTATTGCAGGGAAGACACTTTGATTTGGGTTTTGTGCCAGTACAGTTTTCTAATGTTATTCTTGTGAATTCAGAAGTTTTTATTACAGGTTGATGAAATAATTTATTTGTGTGCCTTGGGCAGTTTTGTTCTTTGTTTTTTATGTGGCATTTCACCTAAATAATTCTTTCTACTCTTTGATAATTTAATAGCTTTGGAAATTCCAAATATTTGGTGGCTTTAGGTATGAAGACCTTTATTGAAGATTTCTTTTTTTTTTTTTCCTAGTGAAAAGTGGTGTTTCTCTTTTGATGAGCATTTTGGTATTTTAGGGATGAAGATAATGACCCTGCAGAAAGTGAAAATGGTAAACAACACAAAGCCTCGAAAAGAGTGACCTTTGCTTTGCCATATGATGAGGATAATAAAGGCACAGATGTGTTACATGTAAAGGAAGATTCTGGTGAAATTAAATCCTCTTTTGAAAAAAGACAAGAAAAGGTAATTACTAGGAATTTAAGGACTTTATATGCTTAATATGACTGTGGAACTCGCAGACTAACTATTCTACCTTAATTTTCCAGTTGGAAATCTTAGCTGGTCTTTAAAAACAAAAATTTTGCAGCTACACTCTTTAGTATACTATATTTAGATGTCATGCCGAAAGCATCTGATTTGCAAAAATTAGTACCTGCATTTCCTAGCCGGTAGCTTTTGGTTGGGAGCTCAACGGTAAAAGCTTCGTTTCTTTGTGCCTGGTGTCTTCAGACCCATGGCGTGTCTGTCCTGCTTAGCCATCTTGTTGAGTCTCCCCTTATAACTGTTTCAGATGCCCTGAAAATTTTTACTTATCTCTTTAAGGTGCTCCACAATAATTTTTGTGGTTGTCACGTAGCTTGAATTTTAATTAAAACCAAAAAAACCCCCCCAAACCCCAGCCATATGTTGTAATCTCAGCACTTGGGAGGCTGAGGCAGGAGGATTGCAGTGAGTTTGAGGCCAGCCTGGGCTACATAGTGAGACCCTGTCTGAAAAAACAAAAAAGAAACACACATCTTCCAAAATTGATAAAATATTGTTATGGCATATCAGGCCAATGAAGTGTCATTTAGTTTATTATTTGTATTTTTTATTTTTTGTGGTACTAGCAGTTGAACCCGGGGTCTTCTCACTAAACTATACCCCCAGCCCTTTTTCATTTTGAGATAAGGTCTTGCTAAGTTGCCCAGGCTTCACTTGAATTTGTGATCTTCCTGCTTCATCCTCCCAGAGTGCTAGGATTGTTTAAGTGTGTGCCACCATGCCCAACAGATGTAATGTGATTTTAACAGATG